TTTCTCGTCATCCTCATCCTCATTTTTTTGTCTTCTTCCTCATCTTGAGGCACATTTTCTTCTTCTTCTTTAGTTATACCTAATTCCTTCAAGTATGAAGTTTCAACTTCATTACTTGAAGGTTCTAATGTTCGTCGAACTTGAACCTGATTGTAGTATTATTAGTTTTTTCAAAAGTATAAGAATAAAAAAGATGAATTATCCATAACCAAAATTACCTCCAACATGTTGAAAAACATACTACGTTGCTCGCTTCGTAAGTCTTTATCCATTTTTCAAGACATCATTCTCGGAAGTCCGCCACTACTACAAATTTCAGCAAATTGTCTTCCTAACTCAGGGAGTACCTCAAATGCCCAAACATGATTAGAAAACAACAAAATAAAATTAAGAATACAACCAACATAAATAAATGAGAAATAGCATAAAAAATATATTTATATTGAAAATACCATGATAGCTAAGGGGAAATCGATGCAGATAATACGTTATCAACTTTGAATTTTTTTATTACCGAAAGTATTCTACTTGAACAACTTTACGGTGTACTCATACGATAAGTTCCCCCACGGATAGCTATTAAATTGCTCCAAATCTTCAACCAGATGAAATCATTTTTCATCTACAAGAGTCCGACACTATGTAGACAAAACCACATGCTCAAGGACCATGAGAAACCCCAATTTGTGTTTCAACTCTGCATCTTTCTTCTTTTTCAAATTATCAAATTGCTCGATCAAGTCTTTCCTTGTTGTCTTCCCCCGCTTCCCTTTGAATAGATGCAAAAGAGAACTCTTTTTTTTTTGGACCTCGTACGTAGCCACATCATCCAATCCTTAATCCGATTACAAGAGAAAATTTTTGTAACCCGAATCTCACTTCGTTTTCTCCGAATTTGAACCACACGACATCTTTTTCATTCCAGATGATTTCAAGGTCCTCCTAAGAAGGTGGTAGATTATTTGAGACGACAATTTCAAGTCGGGAATGTGCACTAGTGGGTGATTAATGATTCACAACCTTGAGGTCGCACCTATTGGTCACGACTCCTGAGCATGTAGAAGGTATATCGAACGCATACTCCCCTTTGGTTCCTAAGAGCAGAGAAGAAAGACAACATATGTCATAAAACAATAATTGTATAGTAGAAAATTCAAATCTAATGGTTGCATAACAATATTAAGAAATTATAAATTACTAATATGTTACATCAATCACATGCACATGATTAAGAAATTAAGAAGTACAACGTTCATTATAGTTTGAAATTAAGAAGTACAACATTCGTTACATCAATCACACGCACATTCGTTATGATTTTTAACATAACGAATATACATTTGGTGATACCCAATTTGGCTACGATTAATAAAAATACAACACATTAAAATATCATCTGTATTATTTTATTCCAAATTAATTAATGTCCATATATTGTGATATGTATATGTACTTGAAGATCCTATCCAAAAAGGAGAGGATCCAAGAGGATCTTATCCTATCAAAAGAAATCTCGGAAGATAAGAGAGGGGGCATTTTTTCCAAAAAGATCAATGAAAAATAAATTTCATCTCTATGCTCTTTGATTCTTGTTTTTCATATAGTTGAATTCATATATTCTTCTCTCATAATTAATATATAGAAAAGTCACAGATAGATCGAGTATTCGTTCCGAATACACTATACAACTCTATTCGTGCAGACCGAACCGAGTGTATATTTGAGTACGCAGTTCGAACAACATTGTTGACATTTTTTAGCATCAACAATTGGCGCTAGAGGAAGGGGGACT